GACAGAGCAAGACTCAGTCTTAGGAAAAAAAGACAAGAAAAAAAAACCCACTACCTTGGCCGAACACAGTGGCTCATGCCTGTAATCCCAGCACTTTGTGTGGCCAAGTGGGGGCGGATCACTTGAGGTGAGGATTTTGAGACTAGCCTGGCCAACATGGTGAAACATGGTCTACCTAAAAATACAAAAATTAGGCAGGTGTGGTGCTGTATGCCTGTAGTTCCAGCTACTCAGGAGGCTGAGGCAGGAGAATCACTTGGACCTGGAAAGCAAAGGTTGCAACAAGCTGAGATCACACCTCTGCACTCAATCCTGGGCAACAGAGTGAGACTCTGTCTCAAAAAACAAAACAAAACAAAACCCCAATAAATACTACATTGATATCTATCTTAAAAGACTGGCAGAGTTTCCACTTCTGCCAAATTATTTTGTACATCCATGCCTTGGATCTTACTGTCTCTTCAAGTGTAAATTAAAGGCATTATATTAAATGCCTTTCCTATTTTTCTTTCCAGCTAAATTTTACTTATCCTCCAACAGTTAGCTCAGGAGTTGTCTCCTACAGAAAGCTTTCCCTGAAGCCTCAGGCTGTGTGAATGGCCAGATTCTGTGCTCCCCAAACATGCTGTGCTTACCCTATTTTATCACTTGATATAGTTTAATATATCTATGTAATGGAATGTATCTGTATGCTCTTGAAAGTTAGTGACAGCTTCACTTTATGTACTTTTTTTTTTTTTTTAGCTTATCCAATATTATAGAATGTACTTGGTTTTTTTGTTTTTTGAGACAGAGTCTTGCTCTGCTGCGGATGTTGGAGTGCAGTGGTGCAATTTCAGCTCACTGCAACCTTTACCTCCTGAGTAGCTGGGATTACAGGTGTGCAGCACCATGCCTGGTTAATTATTTTTGTATTTTTAGTAGAGATGTGGTTTCACCATGTTGCTCAGGCTAATCTTGAACTCCTGACCTCAAGTGATCTGCTGGCTTCAGCCTTCCAAGAGTGCTGGGATTATAGACGTGGGCCACTGTGCCAAGCTGTATTTGTATTTTTTATGTATGGAGAGAAACATATACTGATCTACTAGGAATTCAGTAATGCTCTCAAATCAATTTCCATTTATTAATAGCAGCTCCATTTGCCTATATTGAAAAATCGGTAGTACATTACATATTAAATATTATTTATTCTGTCTACAGAATAGTTCATGAGTTACAGATTTCATTGGAATAATTTCCTGGTTCCCAATGCAGTTCTTAGGACACTGTACTTACTTTAAAATTTCTATTAAACTTACTGTTATTAAATGAATTTAGCAGGAATGAACCAGATTCATTAACAATGCTATGACAAACAAAAAACAGCATTGAACTAGAATTAACATTATTTCAATTACTAATCTCCACCCTATGTGATAACCTAACAACCCATTTTAGAGATTAAGAAACTGAGGCAGCCAGGCACGCCTGTAATCCCAGCACTTTGGGAAGCTGAGGCAGGCAGATCACGAGGTCAGGAGATCAAGACCATCCTGGCCAACATGGCGAAACCCCGCCTCTACTAAAAAAACAAAAGTTAGCCGGGCATGGTGGCACATGCCTGTAATTCCAGCTACTCGGGAGGCTGAGGCAGGAGAATGACTTGAACCAGGGAGTCAGAGGTTGCAGTGAGCCAAGATCACACCACTGCACTCCAGCCTGGCAATAGGACGAGACTCTGTCTCAAAAAAAAAAAAAAAAAGAAAAGAAAGAAAAAGAAACAGATTCAGAAAAGTTAACTGGTTCAGAACCAATTCACTGGTAGCTGGTGTCACAACCGGGACTCCCGGATTATGAAGTCTACTCTAAGTTTTGCCATTTGCTTTTTTGGTAAACTTTGGAACATTACTTTATCTCCTGAGTTTTCCATTTCTTGGTCCATGAAATAATAACTTTGCAAGACTGTAGTGAAAATGAACTACATAAAGTGTCCCTGCCCCCCAGTGTTACCATGATTATTATTTGTAGACTGAAAAACATAGGTATATAAATAATAAGATCTATATTTTTATATACCACCAAGAAGCTTAAAATCACGTTAGGGGGAAATGGTCTATTTCTCTATTATCAATGCTGTATTTTATTTTCTTTATTTTTTTCTTTTGAGTCAGAGTTTTGCTCTTGTTGCCCAGGCTGGAGTGCAATGGCGTGAGCGTGACTCACCGAAACCTCTGCTTCCCAGGTTCAAGCAATTCTCCTCCCTCAGCCTCTCAAGTAACTGGGATCATAGGCGCATGCCACCCCACCTGGCTAATTTTGTATTTTTAGTAGAGACAGGGTTTCTCCATGTTGGTCAGGCTGGTCTTGAACTCCTAACCTCAGGTGATCCGCCCACCTCGGCCTCCCAGAGTGCTGGGATTACAGACATGAGCCACTGCGCCCGGCCAATGCTGTATTTTTGAAGTTAGTAACATGCTTATGACATATGAAAAGCAGCACAATAATTTAAATTATTTAAGTAATTATCTTTTTTTTGAGATGAAGTCTTGCTCTTTCGCCAGGCTGGAGTGCAGTGGCACCATCTCGGCTCACTGCAATCTCTGTCTCCTGGATTCAAGCGATTCCTCTGCCTCAGCCTCCTGAGTAGCTGGGACTACAGGCACACACCATCATGCCCAGCTAATTTTTTGTATTTTGGTAGAGACAGGGTTTTACCCTAGCCAGGATGGTCTCGATATCCTGACCTCATGATCTGCCTGCCTCAGCCTCACAAAATGCTGGGATTAAAGGCATGAGCCACCATGCCTGGCCTAAGTAGTTATCTTTTTAAGCTGCTTTCCCTAGTCTTCACAGCAATTCACTGGAACAAAAAGAATGTTCAATTAGTTTAATTATTTTCAAAAAGTAGAGAAAGAATGTGTTTAGGTGCTTTCTTCCTTTTGAGTTTTCACTTGTTTATTTAGTACAATTACTAAGATTGAATAGGTCTTCTGGTTTCCAGATTCACAAAGAACACTTAGGTGACTTAGAGAAACAAAGTATCAAGAATATAAACTGTGTAATTCAGTTTTGTCTTGAGAAACAATGTTGAACCATAATAAAGGAGATCAGTGCTTTCTAAAGACTATATATATGATATATACATATATACGTAGACACTTTATGTACTTGTATTTTAAGTACATAAACCAAAGGCATAAGTATATAAACCAAAGAATAAGCATTTCACAATCTTAGACAAATTTAGTGTTTAAAAGGCACTACCTTAATTAGACACTCCTAGAAATTCAGTGGATTTTGTTACATTTTTTAGATTATTTACATTACATTTTTTAGATTATTTTGTTTTTATATAGGCAAAAGATTACAATAATCCAGTTTTTATGGTACTTTCCAATGCCACTGCGGGTATGTGAACAACTACCTTAACTAATTTTTTATTAATGTGCCTTCTCTCCCTGTGAAGAGTGTAATCTCTTTCAATTTCTCTTTTTTTCCTCTCAGGCTCTGCATGGACTTTTTCTCTCCTCTTCATTCCTTTGGTGTAACACATAATCACGTGTTCGTTGTCTTGTTTTCCTCTGGGTCACATGGATACTTACATTTCCTTCTCCTTTTTCATCTATTCTCTCATTATGGTCTCTAACAAGATCCTCTCCAGGGTCCCTCTGATCTCTATGCTAATGGGAAAGCACTGGAATGATGGAAAGAAAGACAAAGAGGAAAAAAAGTCCCTAAGCAGCTGGGAGTCCTTAGTTCTAACCATCTCTATGGAAACAATTCCACAGAGATAGGTCTGGAAAGAATTCTGTAGGGATCGCTGGAGCAGTGGTGAGCCAATCTCACCAAGCCTTATTTACAGGATTCAACTTGCAAATGTGAATAGTTGACATTTTTTCTTTTAAGAAAGTAGTAAAATAGAAAGCCAAATAAAATGTCATTTATGACTCTGTAGCAGTTTGGCTTTTCTTTTTTCTTTTTTTTTTTTTTTTTGAGACAGAGTCTTGCTCTGTCACCCAGGCTGGAGTGCAGTGGCATGATCTCAGCTCACTGCAACCTCTGCCCCGACCTCCAGGTTCAAGCGATTCTCATGCCTCAGCCTCCCAAGTAGCTGGGATTACAGGTGTGTGCCACCATGCCCAGCTAATTTTTATATTTTTAGTAGATACAGTTTCACTATGTTGGTCAGTTTGGTCTTGAACTCCTGATCTCATGTGATCCACCTGCCTTGGCCTCCCAAAGTACTGGGATTACAGGTGCAAGCCACTGCACCCAAGTTTTGTTTTATTTAGTTTTTTTTTTAGATGGAGTCTTGCTCTGTCACCATGCTGGAGTGCAGTGACACAATCTCGGCTCACTGCAAACTCCATCTCCTGGGTTCAAATGATTCTCCTGCCTCAGCCTCCCGAGTAGCTGGGACTGCAGGCACGTGCCACCATGCCCAGCTAATTTTTGTATTTTTAGTAGAGACAGGGTTTCACCATGTTGGCCAGGATGGTCTTGATCTCTTGACCACCCACCTCAGCCTCCCAAAGTGCTGGGATAACAAGTGTGAGCCACTGCACCCAGCCTATGGTTTATTTTTTAACTAAAAACTTCCTACTGTAATAATAAAAAGGCAAAAGGGATGTGTCCACCAATTTCAATGTCCTAAGCATGCACATTGGCAAAGAGTGCCTAACCCAAAGAAATTATGGCAAAAAAGCAACTAAGCAAGCAAGCAACAGTTTGGTAGCAAAAAGTCATTCATGTCATTAGAATGATTTTAAGATTATGGCACACAAAGTATGCAGAGGAATGCCAAATTCAACCAGGCAGTAAAATAGATTGAATTCAAGGAATGAGTGAAGGAGATTACAGAATTCCATCTACCAAATCAGGTTGAAAGACTGAAAGGATAAAGTAGCCATGTAACTTGAACACAGAAGGACCAAGGGAAGAACTCCATCAGAATTGTGGGAGCTTACTGTCTTATACAGCAATTATTTTTTTTAAAAGGAGGGAGAGGGGTTGGGACTCACAGTGTCAGTGATAACAGGACTATAAAGTTTCAGGCCTGTTCAAAGGTCTCCATCCAATAAGATAGTAACAACAAGTCTCCTGAAATGGAAACACCAGTATTAATTGGGTGACATAACCTCAGTTTTCCAAAAATGATTACTGTTTCCTTAAGTTATAGACTAGTTATTTGTAACCTCAGGAAGGTTCAGAGTATTTTAAGACCCTGGCCCTTGGGTAAAACCATATGGGCTCCATATAGCTCTACCATTCAACTGTGTGACCTTGGAACTATTTTCACTTCTCCAGGACTTTGGCACTTTATCTATAAAATGAAGATGTTTCTTTTTCAGGGTTGTAAAGAGTAGTGTAAATTGTAGTACAGCATACTACACTCTGGACTCAATTTACACTCCTCTTTACAACCCTGAAAAATAAATGTGAGCCTTTATTACAGCATCCTTGTTTGGTTTCCCATCTCTTGTAATGATGATCACACTGCTCTTTCTTCCTTCAACTGAGTATTTTTAGGGAGTGGGCCATTGAGAGTATGTGAGCACCATGACTTAGGCAATTCTTACTGCTCCATGACGTCGACAATTCTTACTGCCCCACAATCGTCTTAAGCAGGTTTGAGGATGAACTGAAGCCTTAAAATGGAAGTTTCCATTACATGAAGGTAAATGGCTTCCTGTCTCCATCCTACACACTGCAGATCTCATGGGGGGAAAATTATACATTCTCCTATGTTGCTAACACCTCTCACCCTACCCCCAACAGACTTGCAATGTCTGTACCACAAAGTTTAAAGTCTTTTGGTCGGACACTGAAGGCTGTCTACAATCAAGCTTCACCCACATTTCCAACACTACCCCATCTTCCTGACAATCCATGTATGTTCTTACCTTTGCACTTGAACTTGCACTGATTTCTTTACCAGGCTTACCCTTAACCCTTTGCGCAAAAATTCGGGTGCAATCACAGCTCACTGCAGCTTCAACCTCCAGGACACAAGCCATCCTCTTGCCCAGCCTCCCAAATAGCTGGGACTACAAGCGTGCCCAGCCACCACGCCCGGATAATCCTTACATTTTTTATAGACAGCGTCTCACTAAGTTGCCCAGGCTGGTCTCCAACTCTTAGACTCAAGAGATCCTCCCGCCTCCGCCTCTCAAAGGAGTGAGCCACCGCAGCCGGCCTTTTGTATCATTCATTAGGCCATGTGTCATTAGGAACCTTAGTGACATGACAGCAAAACCAAAATGTATTAGGTCACTTGGAAGTACAATTTTCAACAACGCAAAAATACAGAAAACAACCCGACGTTGGTCTCCACAGACTAATCCGTCCCCGAGGCACTGACTGCGGGAGAGATGAAAGACCTCTCTCCTGCCTTCGGCCAACGCGAAGGCCAGAGGAGAAAGAGAGGACGAATCTGTAGAGAGAAGAGAAACGTGGTGGACAGGAATTCACGCAAGAAACCCGGGTCCTGGGCGGCGCACCGAGACAAAGCGCGCTGGGGGTCGGCCGGCAGCCCCGGGCCAGGGGAAGGAGGCGGACAACCAGCCCGAGAGCCGAAATCAGCCCAAGTGGACGCGTGCATCTTCGCAGCCCATAAACACTTGTTTTTCACCGCACAGTGCAAACATGGTGGACAAGAAAAGCTACCCCGCGTCTGCCGGCCGAATCACACGGTGCCCTCTCCGAGCCGTAGTTGCTGAGCAAGGGCGGGGCCCTCACGGAATTTGTTCATGGTGGGGGCAGATCACCAGAGAACTTTTCCAGACCACCACAGCACGGTTCCTTCTACACACGGGCACAACTGCCACTGCCGCCGCCCCGAGGCGGCAGAATGGTAGGCTCTGAAAACTGGATGGTTCCACCGTAAGCAAGGAAGAGCGCGCTACAGCTCTTTAGACCAGTCTCAGCTCTGTCTACCTCGCCCCCAACAGCTGAGCCGCTCACCACCGCGCAGGCGCACTTCGCGCCGCCAACGTCCGGCGGACCCGACTTTTCCCGTCTCGCGAGAGTGGGGCCGGCCGCCTTCTCAGCTCTCGCTCCGCCCACCACTTCTTGGCTCTCTCCCATCCCCCCAAGCCAGTCGCTGTGCTCCGCAGCTCCCTAAGCGGTTGCCACCAATAGAGACGGTTGGGGGAACCGTTGTGGCGGGCGCTACACGAGGCAAACGACTTTTCCCTCCTCTCGACTGGACCCCGCGAGCACCAGAGCCGGCGTAACTATCGCCTGACAGGGTATCTGAAGTAAAAGGGGGTAGGTTGGGCTGGCGGTTTCGAGAGCGGAGTCGGGAGAAGGACGAAAGAGGCCGGGAGGGGGCTGGGTTGGGGGGCAGTGCGGAGGTCGCCGCTCGGAGGCGGCGGGGCTGCGCCTCCCCAACCATCTCCCACTTCAAGGAGGGCGGCCTGCCGATGGGAGGACTTGCTCAGGTGGAATTCAGTGGACGACGCCGAGGCCCGAAGTAGGGGACATCCAGCATTTCCCTCTTTCCCTGCTGGCTTGGCCTCCGCCATTTTGTGTACAGTGGCGCGGCCACCTCGGCTTCCCGCCCTTCCCCGCTCTTCGTAGTTTGTTCCCCAGCTTCCGAAAACTGATCTAGAAGGCCAGGGGAGGGGGTGGTCAAACCTCTCTGGAAGGGATGAGGGTGGGGAGTGAAGCGAGCAGGGAAAGGCCGGGCAGTTGGGTGGAGGGAGGATCGGGGCTGCCGGGCGCGCTCCCGATGGAAATGGCGCCGGATGGGCCTGGCCTCCCACCGCGGCCTCCCTTCCTCCGCAGTCTCGGCAGGGCTACCTGGGCTGACGGGACTGCGAGTGACTTCTGACGCAGATTCCCAAGATGAGAGAGGCTGGAGCTGGGGGAGGAAAGCCAATGGCGACGAAGGTGCTCGACTCCCAAATCCAGGACAAAGGAGGCCGCCTGCCTCCTTTGTAATTCCGCCGCCCAGTGGCGAAGGGTTTTAAGCCAGGCTTGGCTGCTGGCGGGAGGGGGAAGGGGCGTACTCTCCCTAGCTCTTTGGTCTCTAGGGCAGCTAGATAAACGGAAAGTCTCCGGGGAGGAATAAAGGACGCTTAGCCGGCCCTTATATTCCAGATTTGGAACTTCGAAAAGAGTACGTACTCATTTTCCAAAGGGTTTTTTTTTTTTCTTTTTTCACGTTTAAACGTTTATAAGGACTTCGGGGGTGATTTATCAAATAGGAATGTGAAATGGGCTTGTTTCAAGTAGGCCTTCTGGGCCCAGTGAACTATGATTGTTACTTTTTGAACTTTGGGGGAGGGGTGGATGATGTAGCAATGATTTTGTATAGTTTGGAGTATATGTGTTAGAATTTGTTTTTAAGTATTACTTTTGGGAAACAGTTAAAAAAAACCCAGTGATGGCAGATGTGTGTGTATTGGAATTGGGTTCCTTTCGATTTTAAATCTCCAAGTGTTGTATTTTATGTAGATTTTTTTTTCTTGGCATTAAGGCTATAGAAGTAAAATACTTAATGCGGTTGTGGCTTATTTTCTTTTGGGAGCTAGGCATGTTATTTATTTAGTGTATAGTAAATATAGGAGTATAGTACACTGTAATCGTATTTTAAACAATGGAATAAGCCTACTAAACAGAAAAACTGTAAACCCAGTCACGTGGTGGTGGTGTGATTCGGATGGGAGTCTTGAGGACTGGATCCGTAATTTTCGTTGAAGACACTCAGTACGAAAGGCCTAAGAATTCTGATAATTCATGTAAAACTTTATAAGAATATTGTTACCTACTTTTCCTGCTCTAAAAACAAACAAACTTACTATTGTTGAAGATGTTCAGTGATGCTTTGTCAAGATTGCCAAGGAAGTTTACGAAAATCTTACGTTGAAACAGTAGGTTTGAGTGGCCCTTTAAAAAATAGTCCAGACTTTCCTATAAAGTTGTACGTATTGTAACAAATAGCTTTACTAATTGGATTAAACTATACACCTTTTTTGTGCCCTCTTTTTCATTTGTGCCATTATCTGGAAATACATCTAATTGCCTTTTTAAAATAATGTTATCTTTGATTTCCTTGTTTTGGTAAACGACTGAACAGTAGATTAAAAACTGGTTTTAGTGAACTCATTTTTTAGAGACCTGAGATCCTTGAACTATTGGGGTGTGTCTAATTTTTTTTTTAAGTGCAAGCACATTGGGAAGGAACGTAGTAAATTTTCTGTTACACTGAGATCATCAGCACTTTTTCCAAAAAATAAAATTTACTCTCATTTCTTGACCAGTGGGCTACCATTTAGAAAGTTATTTATTGATGTATAAAATCATTTATGTATTGTTTCAGAAGATAGGATATGCCTCCGTGTTATGAGAATTGTTTCTTAACGGCTTGGATATGTAATTCACATACCATAAACTTCACCAATTTTAAGTGTACAGTTTAGTGGATTTTAGTACATTCATAGAGTTGTGTGACCGTCACTACAATTTAATTTTAGAACATTTTTGTCACTCCAAAAAGATAAGCATACCCTTTACTGGTCATTCCCCGTGCTGGCATCCTCCCTCCACTCAAGCCTTCAGACAATCACGAATGTAAATCGAATCATACAATATGTAGTCTTTGGTGACTGGCTTATTTCACTTGTGATGTTTAGAAAATTTTATTTAAGGTCTCATAAAACTGACCAAAGCTATCTTCATGTTTTAACTGTGGTATCTTTAAGTGGTGCTAGCATCAGAGTAGTGATTAGCCATGACGTTGTTGCAAAGAAAGGTTGAGGTGGATTACACTGAATAATTAGTAAAGTGTTTAAGTGGTTTCTGACAGCTTAATATTAGAGCAGATTTCTTCTCCCTGTGCCCTTGGAGATTTTCTTGTTTTGGTTTTGTAGGTAGAATTTTGAGTTTTGAAGGGGTTATTATAGTGAGACTGTCCTTATTGTATGTGCTTTGCATACAGGGTCACCTCATATAAGATAGTATTCCGAATTTGATTGGGTTTTCCACATTTAAAAATTGTGTTTAACAGTTTAGTGTTTCTTACGGATAACACTTTCGTTTTCATTGGGTTTTCTCATTGGTACAAGCTGATCCAATAATCAAATTTGCTTGCTAGTATTTTTTCTTGTGAGTTGCTAAGATTTATAGGTAAATTAATTTTTCTTTCTTTCTTTTTTTAAGTATTTGTTCCTTAAATGCAAATCGTACCATTAAGATCCTTCTGCAACGGATTAAGGTTGAATTTACAGTTTTTAAATTTTTCATGAAGCATTGAGGGTAGATTTATACCACTTTTTCCATTCTGTGTAAATCACTCATTATGGGAAATACTTATTTTTTAGGTTGGTGCTATTAAAAAACAAAATTTAAGAAAGGCATTTTCAAACGTCTTTGAACTTTTTTTTTTTGTAAACTGGGTTGGGGCCTCCTCCTTTCAGAACTACTCTTTAGAATAGTATTAAACTTTTAAAAGCCTTTGCTGGCTTTGGGAAACAAAATTTTTAACAATCCTCAGTTCTTTTCAAGGATCGAATTGTTTTCTGTCCTTGGAGGTTCACGTATTTTGTTTATGGTATATTTCATTGGCTTTGCAGGGCCCCTTAAAATTCGCTAACAATTGCCGGGCAGTAAGTACTTACCACGAGGCAGACCAAGCACTTGAATAGTCCAGTGAGGTATAGGTACTACTGCTTATAATTGAGGAGGCTCAGAGGTTAAGTGGTTTAGGTAGCCAGTGAAGGGTAGAGTAGGGATTCAAACCAGAACGTTCATACTGTTTATTTATGTGCATAACAATTAGTTGTAATGTCAGTTAAAAATGTGTATTCCCATTTTGGTTCTCTATGTTTAGGGTAGTACCTAGGGCTGAAGGTGATTCACGCATAGAGCTACTTAAGCACTTCTAGAGAATTTCTACATTAGCTTAAGTGTATGAATTCTAGGAAAAAAATTTTTACCATTTGCAGATGTTACCCCCAAGAGTTGCACCAACAAATAGATGACATGAAATTAAGCATTAGTGAATGCTGTTCATATGAAATATGATCCTCAAACATAAGGGAATCAAATGAACAAAAACTGTTTTGTTTACAGGGGAGGAGGTGGTGAGGGAAAGTTTTGAAATACTCAGGTGAGTAGGATTCCTACAGCTGCATAGTGAAATTTGTAAGGTTCTGGTAAGTTTCTGCAGCTGAAGGACTTCTGCATTCGCCTCTTTTGTAAATATTATGGAATTTTAAAAGGAAGGATGGTTGCATCTGGGGAAGGGAAACAGATCATTTGGAGGGGAAGGAGGGCTTCTAGATGTACTTTTTCTGCTTTATTTAAAAACATGTTATCTGTTAAAGTTTATGTTTCAATCTATTTGATTAAAAAGTTAACTGGTTTCTACATACTGTCTAGTGGCTCCAAAAACACAGGTACTATTGGAAGGCATTCACTTTTGAGTGGCCTTTGACCTCAGTTTTGAAACTATCTAATTCAGTCATTTTATACTCTTGTTCTTGGTGAGTTTAGATTTGGCTAAAATAGAGGTGTGAGTGTTGACCCTTTAAAGACAGTTTGATGTGGTCAAAATTGCAGTGCATTCAAAAGGATTAAACTTCCGTGGTATTTTTCCAACCTCAGTCAGAACTCATTGCATTTTTTACTTAAGCTCTTGATGTTAGTGGATAGTAGTATTGTATGCAACTTCTAAATAAGTTTTAAAGAATTTGAATAATCCGGTGAATTAAAAACCTGAAAAGTTGTGAATGAAAACTAGAGATACAAGGAAAGGCTGGAGTTGGCATTCAGGGGACACAGTCAAATAGTTTGAAGACTCTATTAGTAGAATTATGCAAGTTTTCTTGAAATCGTGCCATATATAATGTTGATACTAAAAAATTCAGTACTTTTCTGTAGGAGGGGTCGGGTCTCACTGCCTTTTCCCTACCCCAAAATAGATAGGTGGTCTACAATTGTGTTGTGGTCTTGTCGCAGGAGTTGGTCTCATGTTACATTTCCTTAAGTGGCACCTCTGAGAGGTGTTTCTTCATTACCTCTTGACAAGAGTATATTTTGATTGACTGCTCTATGTGCTTGTTTATTTTTTATAGCATTTAAATCAAACGGTATTGAGATGGATTGGGTTATGAAACATAATGGTCCAAATGACGCTAGTGATGGGACAGTACGACTTCGTGGACTACCATTTGGTTGCAGCAAAGAGGAAATAGTTCAGTTCTTTCAAGGTACCTCTAGTATTAGTCAAAGTTTAGTAGTATTGTAATTTTATATTTGTATTGTTTGACTCAGTTTTTAATTTGTAAAACCCATTTGATTTTGGAACTTTTAACTATGATAGTCTTGGTTAATATATTAAAATAATATGCTCCGATTAATATTCAATACCGAATGTGTAGAATATGTAAACCTAGTTAATGTGTAGTAACATATTTGAGAATTGTGATGAAATGAACCATGAATTAGCATATGGAGCATAAATTTGATTTGTAGCCTTTTTCATGTAATATAGGTGGGCTTTCAGATGTGTAATTACACAGTGTTTTTACACTGGTCGCAAAAAAGATTGATTTAATCCAGTAATATTTGAAAAACGCTTTCATTTGTATTATGGGGTGATGGGAAACTAAGCTTTTTTGTTTTGTTTTGTTTAGACTTGTTTTAAATATTTGATTCAGATGGGAATGTTTCAGCCTTTAACACTGTTCCCCTTGATGGGGTTATTTGTCCTTGGGTTAAAGGGTTGGAAATCGTGCCAAATGGGATAACATTGACGATGGACTACCAGGGGAGAAGCACAGGGGAGGCCTTCGTGCAGTTTGCTTCAAAGGAGATAGCAGAAAATGCTCTGGGGAAACACAAGGAAAGAATAGGGCACAGGTGGGGATGGAGAGTTTGGGATGGTGTTAAATTTTTATTTTTGGGGGTTGTGGGTCACTATTGCTTAAATGGGGGGGTAACCATAACATTTTTCTGGGGTAGTTTAAAAGAATTGATGATTATCTAAATTTAACTTTGAAACTACAGATTTGGGTGGGGAATTGATGCTAATAGTTAAATTAAAATTAGATTGTTTTCATTTCTCTGTAGGATGTTGATAAATGCTTTTGTATAATCACCTATTTTCTTTAAACACCTATTATGTACTAAAAGAGACAAAGTAAAATTATATTTTATGAGTTGTTTTCAGTGACTAATTTGTCTTTGTAAAACTTAAATATTTAAGTTTGTAGGTTTAAACTGTTAACTTATGGTGTATTTAGGCAATTTAAATTGGGTTATGTATCTAGCTGTAGAAAAACTTACTGCATTTTGCCCAGTATCTAATTTACACTAATATATTTATGCTGAAACATGTACCTTAAAACATTTTTAAATAGGTATATTGAGATCTTCAGAAGTAGCAGGAGTGAAATCAAAGGATTTTATGATCCACCAAGAAGATTGCTGGGACAGCGACCGGGACCATATGATAGACCAATAGGAGGAAGAGGGGGTTATTATGGAGCTGGGCGTGGAAGTATGTATGACAGAATGCGACGAGGAGGTGATGGATATGATGGTGGTATGTGTATCTAATGAACAAAGGTTCTGTTGTCATTTTCTTAATGTTCCTGACACTTTGTCAAGAAATACAGAAATGGCAGTAATTTCAGTACCTATTAGGTTTTAAAACCTGTTCATGAAAACATGGATTCCCATGGCTAGCTGTGGGACGTGATTGATGCACATATTAGCACCTAGAAAACTTACACTGAAATTAAGATGTTGGCATATTTTGACCTTTTTTAGCCTGAGGATGAAATTTAATCTACATGTCTGAACTTAACCTTTTGAAATTTTAAATTTCCAGCAGATGTTGACTGCTTTTTTCAGTCTAAGTTGGGAATTGCAAACTTGTAATAAGTTACACAGGCTGTTTAGCACAAAATGTTTTTGTAGGCTATATTATAAAATTTCTCTCTCTAAAGTATGTAGTCATGTATTTCTTCTTAAATTACACAGGTTATGGAGGTTTTGATGACTATGGTGGCTATAATAATTACGGCTATGGGAATGATGGCTTTGATGACAGAATGAGAGATGGAAGAGGTAAAGTTAAATATTAAAGATTTTTATTCTGAGGTGAATTTTAGTATTTGTTTTTACAGGCTTTTAGTGGTAATATAGGAAACTTGTATAAAAAAGTTAATTGAGACATATTTTAATGCATTCCTATATAGAACTTTATACCTTGTACAGTACATATGTATACTTTTCTACTTGTATTCATAATAGTTTATAATCTTGGCAAATTGTGTTCTGTAGGTATGGGAGGACATGGCTATGGCGGAGCCGGTGATGCAAGTTCAGGTTTTCATGGTGGTCATTTCGTACATATGAGAGGGTTGCCTTTTCGTGCAACTGAAAATGACATTGCTAATGTGAGTAATTTTTAATAACTATTAGTGGTTTTATACTTACCCTGGTATCTAAATTTTTAAGCATTCTTAATGTTCTTATGTTTATAGTGTAATACCAAAATCCCTTGAATATTAAAAAAGATCTACCTTTAACTCTAGTTACTGATGGATATTTTTGTGTCCATTGTGTGTTAACCTACATAGGATTCAAGCAAGTAAAAAGCTACATTCATGAAGTCCAATTAAGAATATAATGAAAGACTTAATCAGCATAGAATGGTGATGGCTCTATACCATTTTGTGCTGGTGTCTTGTTGTTGTTGTTGTTGTTTGAGATGGAGGAGTCTCGCTGTGTCACCCAGGCTGGAGTGCAATGGCACAATCTCAGCTCACTGCAACTTCCGGCTTCAGAGTTCAAGTGATTCTCCTGCCTCAGCCTCCTGAATAGCTGGGATTACTGGCGTGAGCCACCACTAATTTTTTGTATTTTTAGTAGAGACAGGCTTTCACCATGTTGGTCAAGCTGGTCTCAAACTCCTGACCTCATGATCCGCCTGCCTGGGCCTCCCAAAGTGCTGGGATTACAGGTGTGGGCCACCAAGCCCAGCCTGTATTAGGTTTTGAAAGAGTGAATGTGTAAGTATTAGAGTGATTTGGTTTGGCTTTCTAGGCTAGATAGTGCTTAGAAACTGAGGAGATGAAAATAACGGGAATAGATGCTACTGCTCTTATTGATGTGAAACTGGTTGGTTTCCGATTTGTTAGGAAGTCAGAAAACTTCAGTCCATGGGCTAAATCCAGTCACATCATTCCTTTGCCTGTTGAGTAGTTATATTAGAACCCAGTGGCCATTCAAGCCAAAAATACTATCTGGCTCTAAAAGCAATAGTTTGCTCTAGATCTTACTGGGAATCAATTGGCCTGAGTTCCAAGTGCCTTTAATGATAGCTTAGGCCGGGCGTGGTGGCTCACATCTATAATCCCAGCACTTTGGGAGGCAGAGGCAGGTGGATGATGAGGTCAAGAGATCAAGACCATCCTGGTCAACAAGGTGCAACCCCGCCTCTACTAAAAATACAAAAATTAGCTGGGCTTGGTGGCACGTGCCTGTAGTCCCAGCTACTCGGGAGGCTGAGGCAGGAGAATTGCCTGAACCCAGGAGACGGAGGTTGCGGTGAGCCAAGATCGCGCCATTGCACTCCAGTCTGGGTAACAAGAGTGAAACTCCGTCTCAAAAAAAAAAAAAAAAAAAAGTTTAAACCTCACTAACGTGATTAGAACCAAATGATACCTTTTGGGGAACAATTTCATATAGTAGGTTTATCCAAACTCCACGGTTCCAAATCATGATAGCCGCTATTTCTGTGTGTTATGTCTGTTTGTTTTTGTTTTTGTTTTTTGGAGACAGTCTCTCGCTCTGTCTTGCCGAGGCTGGAGCACAATGGCGTGATCTCAGCTCACTGCAGCCTCCACCTCCCAGATTCAAGCAGTTCTCCTGTCTCAGCCTCCTGAGACTGTGCCACCACACCCAGCTGATTTGTATTTTTAATAGAGACAGGGTTTTTCAGTGGTGTCCAGGCTGGTCTTGAACTCTTGACCTCAGGTGAGCCACTGTGCCCAGCCTATCTGTTTATTTTAAAAGCAGTAAATTCTTTACATTATCCCTAAGTGTATGCTCTTACATTCACAAAACCTCTGTAGTTGGCTAATTAGTCTGGCAGGGCAGTAGAAGGGTTTAATTGATGAGGAAAATCAAGGTATGTGGTAATTTACTTTTAATATTCTCAATAGAGAAGTAAAAAAAAAAAACTGTTTCCTTTTATTTAGTTCTTCTCACCATTAAATCCAATACGAGTTCATATTGATATTGGAGCTGATGGCAGAGCCACAGGAGAAGCAGATGTAGAGTTTGTGACACATGAAGATGCAGTGGCTGCCATGTCTAAAGATAAGAATAACATGCGTAAGTGGTATCTTTGGCATGCTATCTTAATATTCTAGATGCGAATTTTTAAATTAAGAGGCCCTAGGATCTGGAGGTAACTCTTGGCAGTTGTTGGGATCTAAAAAACCATTTGACCTCTAATAAAGTTTAAATATTAGTGGCTTCCTGTGGGCTTTGTATAGCACTGTACTAGGAATTAATAAGCATACTTTGTTAAATATTACTTAATTGATCTTTTTTTAATTTATTGATTAATTTAATCTGTCATTCCTTTCTCCCGGCTTTTTTTTTTTTTTTAAGAGCATCGATACATTGAACTCTTCTTGAATTCTACTCCTGGAGGTGGCTCTGGCATGGGAGGTTCTGGAATGGGAGGCTATGGAAGAGATGGAATGGGTATGTAAAGGTTTTTAAATATGTGGGGTTAGCTACTTAGCAATTAGTCTCAACTTTTTTCTCTTTTTTTTTTTTTTTTTTTAAGATAATCAGGGAGGTTATGGATCAGTTGGAAGAATGGGAATGGGGAACAATTACAGTGGAGGATATGGTACTCCTGATGGCTTGGGTGGTTATGGTAAGTACCTCTAGTTCAGTTCGTTTCAGTCCCCATATATAGTGCAAACTTTAAAGTGCAGGTGTTTTATTATTTTATGTAGAGGTATCTCCTGCTGAGTGATTCTTAATATCTTTTTCTTAAGGCCGTGGTGGTGGAGGCAGTGGAGGTTACTATGGACAAGGTGGCATGAGTGGAGGTGGATGGCGTGGGATGTACTGAAAGCATAACCACCAACATACAAGTCTTGACAACAGCATCTGGTCTACTAGACTTTCTTACAGATTTAATTTTTTTTGTATTTTAAGAACTTTATAATGACTGAAGGAATGTGTTTTCACAATATTATTTGGTAAAGCAACAGATTGTGATGGGAAAATCTGTTTTCTGTAGGTTTATTTGTTGCATACTTTGACTTAAAAATAAATTTTTATATTCAAACCACTGATGTTGATACTTTTTATATACTAGTTACTCCTAAAGATGTGCTGCCTTCATAAGATTTGGGTTGATGTATTTTACTATTAGTTCTACAAGAAGTAGTGTGGTGTAATTTTAGAGGATAATGGTTCACCACTGCCTAAACTGCAAGTCTTAAGCAGACATCTGGAATAGAGCTTGACAAAATAATTAGTGTAACTTTTCTTTAATTCCTCCTGGACAACACTGTAAATATAAAGCCTAAAGATGAAGAGGCTTCAGGAGTATACATTCAGCTAATTATTTCTATATTATTTTTTGACTGTCATTTATCAGGCATAGCTCTGAAATGTTGATGATCTAAGAGGTATTGATTTCTGAATATTCATGATTGTGTTACCTGGTTATGGGAGTGTTGGAAGCTTGAATTTTAGCCGTAGATTTTGAAGTAAAATCCCTTCAGCACTTGACCAGAATACCAAAAATATCACCAAATAAGTGATAATTGCAAGTTATCTCCAGAGGTCTTAGAGTAGGGTTAACGTTCTCAGTGACACAATTCAGTGTAAGTACTTGGCTATTTACTATGGAGTACAATTCTCACAAATGTATTTTCAGTTTTCTCCCCAATAGAACATATGGTTTTTAAATAACTATATAAATAAATGATGACTTTTTAAAAAAATTTAAGCAACAAGTCCATGTCATAGTCAATTAAAACAATCTTGCAGTTGGGTTTTGTATCTGATACCTGCTTGAAGTTTTAAAGAATTTATGTAGCAAGGAAAAGGTGCTTTTTAATTTTAATCCCTTTGATCAATATGGCTTTTTTCCAAATTGGCTAATGAATCAAAATGAAACCTGTCGATGTAAATTCAGTTATTGAACTTGTTACTTGTTTTTGCCAGAAATGTTATTAATGTAATAAATGTCAATGTGGGAGATAATAGTATGGCGTGTGTCTTAGAATGCTTCGTGTCAGTTACTAATTCTAAATCAAATTGGTAGAAGGTAGTACATACGATGTCTAACTGAAGATTTAGGAGAAGGAGCCAGGATAGTCTATATATATATATGGAGCTTCTTGACTCAAGCAACAATTCATCTTAATGCCGTACCCACTTCCTTTAATTAGCAGGTTAAATATTACGGCATACAGCACCTGTCTTTTTTGAAAGTTGCATGTTTTATTTTCCCAGGATTACCTTTTTTAACATCTTTAAGCAATAAAAGTATACAGTATTTTCCAAATCTTTATTTAGTTCATAAAATACACATTTTGTTTTTTAAACATTATATGTTAGAAGAATTACAATCATAATTCCTTGGCACCATAATAGCATTACTGTGGTGGTAGTACTGGTAGGTGAGGGAATGGTATGTCAAATCTGTTTCGAAAAGTAAAACGAATACAAGTTCACAATCGCAAAATACAAATTGTTAAAAGTTTAGTAACAAAAATCCAAAATTATTGTTTTTAAAAAGCCAAAACTACATGGTAGCAAGCTGCTGTCATAAAAGCTGCCTTAAAAAAAAAAAGCCCAAGTCAGTGGTGACATGTGCTGAAAAGTGAAGAGACTTAAAGGGTGACAAAATCAGGGTGTTGAATGACATCAGCCTTGGAATGTAAGCAACTTAAGTCATTTTTAAATTTGTTCTAAGCACAGTAATAGAAAAACTTATTTGAAAATTTTCATTTACGCTGCTTATTCAGTAATCATAAAAATGTTAGCCCATCCCACCTATCAATACAAAATGGTTCAAGAATATAATTCCTATCTTGAGGACATTTCTATCAGTATTCAAGAAAGACCATCTAAAAATCTGTGTCAGATCTGACACCTCAGCTGACGAAATTTATGGGTTTTGAAGAAAATAGATCTTTAAGTGAAGTACTGGTTTCATACTTCAGCTCTTCAGAAAAATTTTAAATTTTCATGGAAGTATATATTCATGAGGAAAAGATGTGCAGTATTAAGCAACTCCTTGTGGACAGGGAGGTACCTAGGACTAATCACTAAATATAATGCTCTTAATGTGTAAATTTTCTATATATATTTTACAGGTTCACAAACTTAAAAGTGCATGGTTGAAAATTAGATTAATGTAAAAAATAGGATACTGAATGGTGATAGTGTTTATATGACTATTCAGAGGTAATTTTATACAAGTTAAATTGTTGCTATGCCATAAGCAATATAACTTGGATTAGTGTTCATTGAGTCAGCTTGAAATAGTTCAAGTGTATGTTTCATCATCTCAACATGCTGGCACCTCAGAGGTGCTCAACAGACGGTGAAATTTTACTGTGGATGTATACCGGTAGGCCACTACAATCTGATGCTTCCTACAATTTACTCCAATGAAAATGTTCATACAAAATTTTTTGAACTGAACTCTTAATACATTACCAAAGTGAAGTTCTGATTTTTTTTCTCACCTTTAATGGTTAGAGAGGATCTTTATAAGGAGCCTGTAATACCCCCTAGTATTATGTACATTTTTTCTGGGGAGGGATTTGGGTTTTGATCTTTGAATGAGGGTCTGAGTCACCTTTTTAAAAAACAGCAATTTAGTGAAACAACATATGAGAAAATCTATAACTCCGGTAAAAGAAAGATGGTTATATGTAACTTGCTTTCAAGATGAGAAAGAAAAAAGTTGAGGCTGAGACCAAATAATGCCCCTTAAAATTTAATCCACTAGCTGAAAATCATCAAGCACAATAACTGATTTTAGAAAAGACCAACAGGAAATTGTTTAGGACAAAGTATTGGCCCTGTCTAATGCAAAAGAGGCAAAGGGGGGGGGTGCAGGGGAAGAGGGACAAATAAATATAGGTGAAATCTTAAAAAGATAATAAAAATCTGTTGAATATTAATATTTCTAAAAAGTTTTACGCATTTTCAGTCTCAGAACCATGAAACTTTAAAGTGCATTAAGAGAATTGCAGGCACCATCAAATACCAAATTGACAGAATTCAGAAGAATAAAACAATCTGAAGCCTTATTTTTAAGAAGGCCTTTAAAAGATAAGGCAAATGTGTGTTAGCTCTGCTATCTGGCCTTTTAATGAAGTTAAGAGTTACATGATTTTTAAGTATGCTCTGTTGCAAATTCCTTTTGAAAAACAATGGAGAAAGAAATTTCCATGAGTTGAATATGTAGAAGATAAAACTAGTACAAATACTGACAAAGCCGCTTGAGAGCTGTCTGGTTACCTTGTATACAACATCATAACATTCCTTGCAGGTACTTTCATACGTAAGGATTTAGTTCAGGAGTCTCAGGGCAAGTTAGATGAGCATCTCTGAATGAGCAATGCATGACAGGAATCACAAACCCGTACTGGTTTTGGTGAAGAAGGCAAAGGTAGTTCATTGTCAGAGCAGGCATTACAGAAAATTTCCCCACAGTTTCTACAGTGGTGCTATTAAATAGAAGAAATCAGAGGGGAAAAAAAACTTTATAAATTAGAAGCATTTTTGCACCCCAAGCTTTGGACTCACTTCCTAACTCCCTTACCTTTCTCTTAGAGAGTGAAAATTCCTTTTCACAAAGTTTACAATGGGTTGCTTCTTTGTCTTTCAGCCAAACCAGTCCCTAGTGGGAAGAAAATATTAATGCTCAAATTGGTAACACTAAAAATATGTGAAAACTTTTTCCCTCAAGAACATTTTATGAAGAATGGAAAAAAGTTATTTCAGAAACGTACACTGAAATATTTGTAGATGGAAATATGTATGGAATTTGCCTCAAAATATTCTGGGTTGGGGAGGGGGAATGTAGATTGAGAATGAAAACCAGCCAGGTAACAGTGGCTGACACTGGTAATCCCAGCTATTCAGGAGGCTAAGGTGAGAGGATCACTTGAGGCCTGGAGTTCAAGACCAGTCTAGGCAACATAGTCTGTCTCTTAAAAAATAAAAATTTAAAAAATGAAAAAAGATTGCACATAATATTGAATATGGGTAATGGTTCAGTTTACTCTATACAGTTGTATGTATTAGAACATATACATGCAAAAATGCTTTGAAGAAATAAAAATCTATTACTGATGGGAATTCTCTTCAGGAAAGGAACCTTGAAGATAACCTTAAAGTAGTCCAATGACATTTTTAATTTGTGGGTACACAGTAGTTATATATTTATGGGGTACCTGAGATGTTTTGATACAGGCATGCAATGTGAAATAAGCACATCATGGAGAACGGGGTATCCTAGTCCAACAATATTTTTAAATAAATTCTCACTGTGTGAAGTGCAATAGTTTGTCATTATGTACAACTTATACCTTAAGACCCTAAAATTGGAAGGATATTGGGGAAATCAGATATTTGAGTTCATTCTAAGACCTCTTTAGGAGGCTGAGGCAGGAGGATTGCTTGGGGTTAGGAAGACAGCCTGGGGAACACAGACTCCATCTTTACAAAAAAAATTAGGCTACATGGCATAAAGCCTATAGTCCCAGCTACTCCAGAGACAGAGGAAGGAGAATCACTTAAACCAAGGAGTTTGAGGCTGCAGTGAACTATGATTGTGCCACTGCACTCCAGCCTGAGCAACACAGTGAGACTTTTTCTCAAGAAAAAAGAAAAAAATTGTTATAGATGGCTATTTCTCTCAACTTTTATAACATTTAATATCTGCTACGTAAACTAGAAAACGGACCTAAGTAGTCTTAGGCAGTAACCTGATACATACAATTTCTGACAACTTGACCCATTTATTTAATTTGAAGAGAGCTGGGCGCAGAGGCTCATGCCTGTAATCCCAGCACTTTGGGAGGCCAAGGCGGGTGGATCACGAGGTCAAGAGATCGAGACCATCCTGGTCAACATGGTAAAAACCCGTCTCTACTAAAAATACAAAAATTAGCTGGGCATGGTGCGTGCCTGTAGTCCCAGCTACTCAGGAGGCTGAGGCAGGACAATTGCCTGAACCCAGGAGGCAGAGGTTGCAGTGAGCCAAGATCCCGCCATTGCACTCCAGCCTGGGTAACGAGCGAAACTCCGTCTCAAAAAAAAAAAAAAAAAGAGTCTCACTCTGTCACCCAGGCTGTAGCACAGTGGTGTGATCTTGGCTCACTCCAACCTCCACCTTCCAGGTTCAAGTGATTCTCTCCCACCTTGGCCTCCCTGTGGCTGGGATTACAGGTGCATGCCACCATGCCTGGCTAATTTTTGTCTTTTTAGTAGAGATGGGGTTTCATCATGTTGGCCAGGCAGGTCTTGAACTCCTGACCTCAGGTAATCTGCCCATCTCAGCCTCCCAAAGTGCTGGGATTACAGGCCTGAGCCACTGCAACCAGCCTACTTGACCCACTGTTAACAAACTTGCTTAATCAATCTTGGGTAGAAAGACCTTTTTTTCCCCTTGTGAAGGCAACTTTGTTAGATGGTTATGTTTTACAATGAGAAGACCCAGATGAAGGAGGAGCATCAATACTGATTGATTTCCTAAAACAGCCCAGACCAAAGAACCCAAGTATAAGTGAAGATTCCAAATCAGACATGGAGCAACTGCAACCTATAAATTACTACTGAAGCATGGGAATCTTTTTCACCTGAGAGAAAAATTGTCTAAGAACAAAAGGCCCATAGATAACATTTCCCAAAACAGGAGTTTTCTTAAAGACTTTTCCAAAAGCAGAATTCTTTGAAGAAAAAAAAAGACTAACCACTCATAGATCAAGATCACAAGGTTAATTTCCGGTCTTTTTGTTTCACAGTCTTAATAACTAGCACTTACTACATAGCAGAACTAATAGAGTGTTGGTTACTGCATATGAGGAAGCCTAAGTCCCCTTAGAACACAGGATTATAAAGGCTTTTTTTAAAAAAAAAAAAAAAAAAAAAAACTAGATAGTTCATATCAGACAAATACCACCAAAGAGTCAGATAACTTGAATCATAGAATTTTTTTTTTTTTTTAATGCAGGATGGGGAC